GGGGAAAGGGAGATGAGTAAAAAGTACAGGGAGCCATGAGGATGACTTTGCCTCATGACTCAGACTTGCTGCAAGAGAGGCAGGCAGCTCAACTTCTCTTAAAGGAATGTACTTGTATACAGCAAAAGCTACATACAAGCAGACAGCAGATGAACCCAGGCAAGAAGGAACAAAAATTACAGCAGGAGATTCGGTTTGGCTTTCAACTAAGTTTTTCTCTTTTGCATGGCCCTCCAAGAAACTGGATTCAAAACGTGTTGGCCCGTTCCTGTTTGTGCAACAAATTAACTGAGTGGCCTTTTGTCTGCAGTTGCCTGCATCAGTGAAGGTTCATCCTGTCTTCCATCAATCACTATTTGTCTTTGAACCCCAGCTCACCCCCGCAGCTTATGCTCAAAATCAGTTCCACCACCACCCATTCTGGTGGATGGGGAGGAAGAGAATGAAGTGGCAGCTTTTCTGGATTCCAGATGCAAGGGAAAACAATTGGAATACCTGATTCACTATAAGGGCTATCCTGAACCAGAGAGATCATAGGAAACCACAACAGACATCCATGCCCAACACCTAGTACACCAATTTCATCTACAGTTTCCAAGAAAATAATTTGCCAATGCTTCAGTCCCAGGAAGAAGAAGACTCTGTATTTCCCAGCATGAGGGGCTCACCAGAACAGATGAGTGTGCAGCCAGAAAGAGGAAGGCTCTCCAGTTCCATCCACTTTGGGGCTGTGGGACTTACTGGGAGTTCCATCAGGAGAGAACAGTGACAGCAGGCCCAGACAACAGCAAGAGGATGGGGGAAAGTACCACTCCTTCTACTTCTGATTTACAGGAGTTACTGAGTGGGAGGGAGAGGGGTGAATTAGCAGTGCATTCCCATGTTTCTTTCCAGAGTTTTCTTTACACATTGTATGGGAAATTGAGTCTAATGGGGGAGGTGGTGTAGGGAGCCATGGAGATGACCTTGGATAAACCATCCAGAAGCTATTAGCTCAAGAACAGGTGCTGAAACTTGCAATTAGCCCAGGGAGGAGGGAAAGCATTAGAAAAAGACTCAGATTGCCCCCTCCCCCCGCTCACAATTCTATGGGGCATAAAAGAGAGGTAAGGGAAAACACAAGCAGACATATAAGATTCTGTTACTATAGCCTATCTTAATGAATTATAGTTCAGTACTTCCTATGGAGTCACTTTCCTGGTCTGGTTTACCTCATAGGGTTGACAAAAGCTATATTGAGGTAAATTAGTTAATAGACATCTCCCAATTCTACTCTACGTGGATGATGCAGTTCTTCTCTCCTTGTCTTCTGTAGGTAAGAAGCGGGCACTAAGAACCCTGGCATCCTACTGTAATGAGGAACAATTAATAATCCATTATGATAAATTTAAAGCTTTTGTTTTTTTTTCCCCAACGAAAGACAAAGGCTCAAGTGGACAATTGATTCCCATGAATTAGAGCAAGTTAAATGTTTTAAATACTTGGGCATAGTATTTCAGGCCTCTAGGAAATTAACAACCCAGGTAAATTATACCACTTCTACTGCCCAAATGTGTTCACAAGCAATAATTAAATTTTAGAGGCAACAGGGGCAAATTACATC